AAATTATTTTTAGAGAAAAATTTGCATTATCTAAGATTTTTAAAAACTCACATTTTTTAAATACATTTTTTCGTACTTTTACAGTGTCTATTTTTCATTACTTCGCTTCCAGACTAATTCAAATAAATGGTAATGAGTGTAATTACGCGTGTGTGAATCTTAATGAGATGAATTGACATTGTACGAAAATCTGTATTGAACTGATATTTTGTATGGCAAGATATTGTATTAAAAAAACTTTACATATGAATGCATTTTTTCCCATAGAATTGTATCGCGAATAAAATGATAAAAAACAGTTTTTAGCGGATCGACACTTTCGACATTTTGCCGACCGCTTGTTACAACTCCAATTAGTCACAAGGGGTGTCCTATGACTAAAATACAATTAGAGATTAACCGCGCGTTTGTAACGTTATATGTAACATCGACGCATATAAGCCGATTAAATGACAAAATCTCATATGTCAATTATAATTTAGCGCCCTTGATATACAACGTAATTTCAACATATATGCGTAAATACATCACGTACAAATACGTTACAACTCTCTCATGATATTCAGAGTATTAACGTTTAGCTAATTGTCCCCCTTCCCCCTCAATTCACAACTTAATCATACAACGTGCAAAATTCGATACTAGTTTAAGATACAAATAATGTACTTTATACAAGATATTGTTAATCAATTTATTTATATATAAATAATTGTATTCGATCCGCGCAGAGATCTCGTTGGACGCAAAAAAAAAGCAGTAAAAGGAAAGAAAGCAATCAGCGGAAAAAGCGAGGAGAGTAGAAACGAAACTCACAGAAGGTGGAAGGGGACAGGGGGGAGAGAGATGGGAAGCCGCGGAAAGAGAAGCCCCGATAATGTTGCACATCGACCAAGGTCTATGTCATTGGAAACTGACGGGATCGATTTCCTCGCCCTGTTTTTCCGCTTTATTCTTTTTTTTTTGCATGGCGAATTCCTTCTCTATCGAGAATAGCCGAGGTATCGTGTTTCGAAGAACTTCTCGATGCGGATGTCGGGCAAAAGTCATCGAGACGAGGAGGGTGGGAAGGGGGGACGCCTTTTGTGGCGCGGTGGAACTTGCGCGCAAAATATCGTTCGCACATTCAATATTTAGAATATCCATACACATTTATAAATCATGCGCGCAAAACTCGATCGATGGTTGAAACCGTGAAATGCAAAATATTTTCTGCGAGATTATATCAATTGCTCATATCGCACTGTATTCAATGCATCTCTCTTTCAGAATTACAAGGAACTTTTTTTACCCACGTTTAAAAGGGAGATACATTGTATTTCTGCATATCGTGATATTACTTGTAATTAAAAAGTAGATTATTACATTCACCGGTAAATGACAAAAGAGAGAGAGAGAGAGAGAGAAAGAGAAAGAGAGAACTATATGCTTCGGTTGAATAATGATAAATCTCCTTAATCGATCACGATTGCAGACATTTGTCTTGGAACATAGATTGATGGAGAAAAACTTCTCAACGCGTGCATTGACGCAAGGTAAGCTAATAAATAAATGTGGTTTGCGCAACGTATATTACTTGCACGCATCGTATATCATTAATCCTACACAACATGCAAGTCAACTTTGCAAACGAGAGAAATTATTTTTAGAGAAAAATTTGCATTATCTAAGATTTTTAAAAACTCACATTTTTTAAATACATTTTTTCGTACTTTTACAGTGTCTATTTTTCATTACTTCGCTTCCAGACTAATTCAAATAAATGGTAATGAGTGTAATTACGCGTGTGTGAATCTTAATGAGATGAATTGACATTGTACGAAAATCTGTATTGAACTGATATTTTGTATGGCAAGATATTGTATTAAAAAAACTTTACATATGAATGCATTTTTTCCCATAGAATTGTATCGCGAATAAAATGATAAAAAACAGTTTTTAGCGGATCGACACTTTCGACATTTTGCCGACCGCTTGTTACAACTCCAATTAGTCACAAGGGGTGTCCTATGACTAAAATACAATTAGAGATTAACCGCGCGTTTGTAACGTTATATGTAACATCGACGCATATAAGCCGATTAAATGACAAAATCTCATATGTCAATTATAATTTAGCGCCCTTGATATACAACGTAATTTCAACATATATGCGTAAATACATCACGTACAAATACGTTACAACTCTCTCATGATATTCAGAGTATTAACGTTTAGCTAATTGTCCCCCTTCCCCCTCAATTCACAACTTAATCATACAACGTGCAAAATTCGATACTAGTTTAAGATACAAATAATGTACTTTATACAAGATATTGTTAATCAATTTATTTATATATAAATAATTGTATTCGATCCGCGCAGAGATCTCGTTGGACGCAAAAAAAAAGCAGTAAAAGGAAAGAAAGCAATCAGCGGAAAAAGCGAGGAGAGTAGAAACGAAACTCACAGAAGGTGGAAGGGGACAGGGGGGAGAGAGATGGGAAGCCGCGGAAAGAGAAGCCCCGATAATGTTGCACATCGACCAAGGTCTATGTCATTGGAAACTGACGGGATCGATTTCCTCGCCCTGTTTTTCCGCTTTATTCTTTTTTTTTTGCATGGCGAATTCCTTCTCTATCGAGAATAGCCGAGGTATCGTGTTTCGAAGAACTTCTCGATGCGGATGTCGGGCAAAAGTCATCGAGACGAGGAGGGTGGGAAGGGGGGACGCCTTTTGTGGCGCGGTGGAACTTGCGCGCAAAATATCGTTCGCACATTCAATATTTAGAATATCCATACACATTTATAAATCATGCGCGCAAAACTCGATCGATGGTTGAAACCGTGAAATGCAAAATATTTTCTGCGAGATTATATCAATTGCTCATATCGCACTGTATTCAATGCATCTCTCTTTCAGAATTACAAGGAACTTTTTTTACCCACGTTTAAAAGGGAGATACATTGTATTTCTGCATATCGTGATATTACTTGTAATTAAAAAGTAGATTATTACATTCACCGGTATCGCGTTGTGTGCACGTTCAGAACTTATGACAAGCTCGACGAGACAAAAAAAAAAGACTTGCCTATCTGATTTAAACAACCAGTGAAAAGTCATAATAGAAAAACATGTGTTAGACTTGACAGGACCCGACCGATAAATCAATCTATTAATATTGACGAAACACTTTCCAATTCGTAAAGTCAGCGTCAAAATTTTTCGTTTATCACTATACAATATTTCGTGTTGAGCACCTTGTTTTGGCATCGCCATGACGACCCGATCTCGCGACGAATCGGAGAGAAAGGGAAGAATGAAGGAGTTGCCGACCTAACCTAACCTAACGTGATCGTGACAGCTCGTCGTCTCGTGCTCTCTCCCCGCCGTCGCGCGATATCGCGTTCCCATGACAACGAAGGAAGCTTTCAACGAAAAGAAACGAATGTCGAGGAGAGAGCAATCGCCGTTACCCGGCGAGAAAGAGAGAGAAAGTGTGTGTCATACTTCTTCTCCCCTTTTCCCCTTTTTTGCACAGACATCAGCATAACGACTGACGATTCGATCCCTATCCCCTGTCGAATCGATTCAAGCAATTCCTCGAGGAAGAGCATCATCGAGGAAACGAGCCGTGCGTGTAGGAAAACAAAGCACACTCTTATGTCAAAAAAAAAAAAGAAAGAAATAATAGCCGATTATTATCAAGATGAAGGAGAAATTGACAGAAGAAGCAGGACATGGACCGAATTTCGTAGCGTATATCGGGTGTCATAGATACACTCACTAGACGGACGCTTTGATTAAATACACATTATTTTGTTTATATTTTCGTATATTAATAAAAATTATTCTTATATATTTCTTTTTTATTTCTTTGAGATCGCGTAAAAAAACGTGCGATGATTACACGAGTGATTAGTCGCAGGCTGACAGATATTTTATATAATCTTAATTTAAATGCGATAAATATGTTAAATAGATTCAGCAACGCGGAACATATATTTATAATTCACGTAGCTCTCGAAGGAAATAAGCTGTTTAAGCGAAAATACGACGAGAATGAACGGATACGTAAACAAAGCCGCGATTCGAGAGCGTGACAACACGATAAAAACAAAGCGAAGAAAGGTCGAGGGGGATTTCAAGGAAAGCGAGCGGCTACGTCTCGTCTGACGGATTTACAGCATACATCCTCGTTCTAATTTTTTTTTTTTTTTTTTTTTTTTTACGAAATGTCGCGTTTAATCAAGGTCTTTCTCTCTGTCGTCTTCGTATAATACTGACCCACCATCGCGCTCTCGGACCGGCCGGCGGGGAGTGGTCCATTGTTTCCGAACAAAACAGAAACGCGCTATCGGAACGCGAATGTTTTCACGAGTCATTCCCGAAAACTATGTACCCTCAGGCAAAAAAATAATATTTACAAAATGCGCCGTTGATCGCGCGCGCGCGATAACCGACGACATGAGGAGAAACAAAATGACGTGAAATAATTTTCGAAATCGCTC